CCGCATCTTCTCGTCACCCGCCCCAGGCTTCGTCATCGGCGTAGGCTCCGTTGGGGACTCGCTAGCACCGTATGATGAGAGTAATACTTACATGAGTACCGATGCCGGCCTCACATGGACCTTGGTCCACGAAGGCCCATATTTATATGAGTTCGGTGATTCTGGAAGTGTCATCGTCGTTGTCGATGATGAGCAAGTTACTGATACTATTCTGTACTCCACGGACATGGGTCAAAGCTGGTACGCATCTCGTTGTTAGTTTTTGCGATCCCTACTGAAACGTTTTCCCACTCAGGATCTCCTACAATGTCGGCGTTCAGTTCCGCGCCAAGGGTCTTACGACGGTGTCAGACTCGACGTCTCAGAAATTTGTTCTTCTTGGCCAGGTAACGCGGCAGTCGCAGCAAGATGGCCGCCGCAGCGTTGTCATTTACCTTGACTTCGCTACCCTCGAGCGTCCTATGTGTGGTGACAGCGACAAGGAGCGGTGGTACACGAGGGCCAACTCTGATTCGGAATGCATCATGGGTGTTCAGGTGAGTTGGCACAACCTTTCCACGGAATGTTTCTTGTTGATATGCGTTGAAGCAATGGTACGTCAGACGAAGGCCTGATGCGGATTGTTATATGGGCGAGAAGTTCCATGATCCTGAAGTCCGTGAGGACATGTGCACATGCGAGGCGCATGATTATGAGTGGTATGTCGTTTTTGACCTCTTTGCTATCTGCGGTTTCTCATGGGGTGCTCTAGTGATTACAACTTCGTACGGAGCGATGGTAAATGCGTGCCTTCAGGTCCCGAGCGCATACCTAGCACCCAGTGTACCCTTGGGAGAGCTGGGGAGACGTACATGGGATCATCTGGATATCGTAAGATCCCTGGGAACAAGTGTGAGGGTGGCGTTCGCCTGGACGAGCCTGTGTCCAAGGACTGTTCCGAAGGTGAGTGCTTTCCAAAGCAGCGGATGGTTCTGTACCTCATACCTCATTTGCAGCTGAACCCACCGAAGGAGAAATTGTGCAGCAGATTGTATGTTCCCGTTCTCGCTTTTATTCCCAGAGCAGATGACTGATGATGATATTGCAGCATCCGTTTTCCGCTGATATTGTGCAGAGCGAGTTTTTCAAAGAATCGAAGGTGCGTCTAGTTGTCCTGGTTGGTCCAAGACATCAGTTCATATCCACCTCTGCAGACCGTCCTTGTCCGTCTTTCCGACTTCACGATCTGGCAATCCAGCAATGAGGGTTATACTTGGGAACAAAAGCAACCAGGGGAGCGCTTCCTAGCATTCTACATGCACGCACACTCCAAGGACCGCGCGTACCTCATCACCGACACCAACAAATTCTTTTACACGACAGACGGAGGTAGTTTCTGGCATGAGATGAACACTCCCTCGCCACCTAACACCTTCGGTGCGCAAGTGCTGCGCTTCCATACCAGAAGTGATTACCTGATATGGATTGGCAACGTGGACTGCGAGATGGGTAGCGAACGCTGTCGCGCAGAGGCGCGGTACTCTCATGACAACGGGCGGAACTGGTATTTCGTGGAGGACTATGTCGTCAATTGCGATTGGGCGCGCGACGAGGACCTGCGGGTTGATGCATCGCAGATCCTGTGCGAGTCCTATCAGAACAAGCAGGGCTCGCAGCTGTTTTTCGGAAAGGACAATAATGCGTTGCAGCTCGTATCCGGGACAGATTACTTTAAGAAGAAGACAAAGTTGTTTGATCATGTTGTCGGGTTCACCAAGTTTTCGGAGTTTTTGATCGTGGCGGAGGTAGGTTTCACTTTGGTATTGTGTGTACGTTGATTGATTGGTTTTGTGTTTGCCATGTAGTACCTCCCAACGAGGAACTCGCTTAACCTCCAGGTATCGCTGGATGGACGGACATTTGCCCCAGGAAGCTTCCCTCCTGGCATGCATCCAGATTCTCACGTGCGCACAATCAATTTCCTCACAAAAGAACCCTTCGGGATTACTCACCATGTCTCATAGGCATACACTGTCCTCGAATCAAGCACGAAATCCATCTTTTTACACATGACCATGAGCGAATGGCCCGCACCTTGGGGCAATATCCTCAAATCCAACTCCAACGGAACCTACTTTGGGGTGTCCCTCGAGAATGTGAACAGGAACAATGCTGGCTTTGTCGATTTTGAGAAATTCCAAGGGCTGGATGGGATTGCTATGGTCAACGTAGTGGCGAATCCTGCAGAGGCGGCGCTTACGGGGCGCAAGGTTCTGCAGACGAGGATCACGCATAATGATGGTATACTTTTTCTCCTCTCTGGCGCCAAGCTTCGTTGTTGATTTATTATGTGACTCAGGTGGCACTTGGAAGTCGCTTATACCCCCTTCTGTAGATTCGCTGGGTCAGAAGTACTCTTGTTCATCGGTGGTATGTCGTATTTACTTCTGCCTCGCTGCAGATTGACCCAATTTGTGTTTAGGGGTGCAGTCTTCATGTTCACGGGTACACAGAGCGCTTTGATGCTCGGGCGTCATATAGCAGCCCGTCAGTTGTCGGCGTCGTGATGGCAGTCGGCAACGTAGGTGAAGTGCTCGCTCCCTACGCCGAGAGCGACACATTCCTGTCCCGGGATGGCGGTTTCACATGGGAAGAAGTGCACAAAGACGCTCATCTATGGGAGTTTGGCGACTCGGGTTCTCTCATCGTCATAGTCAACGACGAGGAGCCGACGGACCACGTCTTGTTCACGACAGACGAGGGCCTCAGTTGGCGCGAGTTCCAGTTCTCAAATGAGAAGATCAGAGTGAGGGATATATTGACGGTGCGGGAGGATACGAGCCGGAAGTTTATGCTCCTGGGACGGTATCCTGGCTCTGGGGTCTCGGTGATTGTGCACTTGGACTTTTCGTCTCTGACGCATAAGCAATGTAAGTAAGCTGTTTCCGCATTCATAGACTGCCATGCGAACTGATTTTGCTAGGCGTCGTGGATAGTGAAGATCCTGGACATGATGACTTTGAGCTGTGGAGCCCTAGCGAGGAACGAGACCAACTTTGCTTGTTCGGACGACAGGTGAGATGCCTGGACTTATGTTTTTTCCGTTGGTAACTTTCTCATACATATCATGTGCAGACACTCTACCATCGTCGGAAACGGGACGTGAACTGCGTGGTTGGGGACACACCCAAAGCGTTAGACAACGTCGTGCGGAACTGCACATGTACGGCGGAGGACTTTGAGTGGTGAGTCGTAGGTGTGGCCTCACTCGCTCAGAGCTAATTTAAAATTTGGGCAGCGAATTCAACTATGTCCGCAACGACAAAGGTGAATGTGTTCTTGTGCCGGGGATGGCTCCCCAACTGCCGGACGATTCTTCGTGCCGCGATGGCGAAGACTATTGGTACGACCGCACGACGTACCACAAAGTGCTCTACTCCTCATGTGAAGGCGGAAACCGCATAGACCGAGGCGCATCACACTTGTGTCCTGGCATCAGAGGCCACAGCGCGTTCTTCTGGATGATAGTGATTTTGTTCCCCTTTGCTATAACAGCGCTTGTCGCATGGTGGTGGTACAAAAAGAGCGGAATGGCGAGAGGGTCAGTCGAGTTTCACTTTTTTTCTTTCTGTTTGCCTAGTATGCTCATTGTTGATGCACAGAACGATCCGTTTACCTGGAGGTGGAGGCGACTACTCGCATTTGGGATCGTCTGGGTCAGGCGCGTTTGCTACGCTGGCTTCTGTACCGTGGTTCCTACTGGGGCTTGCGGGTATCGCTTTCGAATGGGTGGCCTCGAGCTTCGATGCTGTGTCGATGGGCTACAGAGCGAGACGTGGATACAGGGATGTACCTGTAGATGAGGATGCACAGATCTTGAGGTTTGAAGACGAGGAATGAGTGTGGCGTATGGAGATGATAGAGGACAGGTTCGACGATATATTATTTAATAGCACATACTTGGTGCACTGTCTGTCCTAGCCAATTGCTTTCCTATGTATGCTGATTTTTCTATGCTCTGTTGGTGTGAAATGTATGAGTTGGACTAAGAGTGTGGCATTAGTATACTGGCAGTAGATAACACGGCGAATACAGGGATAGCAGGTATACATGGAGTGATCGTCCGAATCCGACCTTTTGACTAGTCTATAACGCCAAGGTGATCCTCCTTGATCGTTCCGATGGCAAACTGGCGTTGCATTAGCAGGCAACATACATAACAAAATAGGGACACACGATTTCGGTAGCATCAACGCGAGTTCCGACGATTTTTAGTCGTACGCGAGTGTTTTTCTCGATGATCTGTTCAAGTGACAAGGTAGGGATATCAGGGGAATGACGCATGGATGGACGATACCTGGTCATCTGATGCAAAGGACGGGGGATTTGAGGTCGGATCAAATTTCATGTCTGGATGTATCAGCTAGAAAGGGCGGGGGAAATTGATGAGCGGGAAGAGTCAAGGAGGAAGGAAGGTTGCGACTGACCTGGTGGGACACAAAGACCGTTAACGGCCCGACGTCAGCGAAAAAGCCCATCTACGCGCAGTTCAGTACGCCATGAAGGGGAATGGAACAGGGGACCAAGAGCACCTTGTTCACGTTATTCACGACGCCGTCGACCACTTCTCCCTTGAAAGGCTTGAACACTATTGCACGATAGCGGGTGATGAATTCCGCTTGACCACTCCCACTGAGCACCATTCCTTTTCCGATATCGAGGATGGAGACGACTGCAATGATGTATCCGAATGCGCCTGAACATGTTCCTTCTACATCTGAGTAGAGTTTGGACTCGAGGAACTGGAGCATCCGCGGGCCAAAGTAGGACGGATGGAGGAGGATAGTGTGCGACAGTTCTTTCTGAGGATTGGAGTTTTATCTATGATGGAATGAAAGGATCTGGGAGGTACTCACGATGAAGAACATGGTGGGCCGGAAGACGAGTGTGGTCGTCGTTCGAGGTAAGTACTAATGCGGCAGATCACGTAATTATGTCATGCTGGGGTGGAGATCAAACATGGCCGACTAGCTCAGTTGGTTAGAGCGTCGTGCTAATACGGTCTCCTGCCGTCTGATACGCGAAGGTCTTGGGTTCGATCCCCACGTTGGCCATTCTTTTTACCAAAGTCACGCTTACGATCAGTCACACACGGGCACATCCGATTCCTTATGGAGCAAAACTCGAACATAGGTCAAATTTAGATTGGTTCAACTTCGTCTTTGACCACTTCAAGTCTTCAGTCCCTTCCTTTCTTCAGCAAGTTCAATGATGGCCGTGCATTCTGCGTTCTTTTCTTCTGGCCTCCTTGCGCCTTCTTATCATCCCAGAGCATCCACTCCCGTTCCACCCTCGCCAATCCCCATACCATCCAGCCCCATAGACCCTGTTGATCGCGGTCTGAGCATTACTCCCACACCCAGTGGCACCTCAAACAACGTCACTGCAATTCCCACTGCAAATGTTGACCGTCCATTCATGCGCAGGCGTCGCAGTAGCATCAACGTTGCCGCGAACCCCATGGCTCTTATCAAGTCTCCTACACGAAATGCTGGCTTCGCACTCCAGCGCACAGGCGTCATGTCACCCTCTCGAAGCCGCTCGGGCAGCGTTGCTGAGGGTGCTTCCGAAAGTAACAGCCTCTTTAGCAGGCTGAGAAGTGGTAGTCTGAATGCAGGTGTTCCGATGCGGTGAGTTGCTCTAGTCCCCTAAACTTAGACGTTTCCCTGAAGCTCATGCGGTGCAGCCTCCGTCGCGCAGTCAAGCGAACTGTCCCACTCGCTCCACCTCCCACCGCTCCTCTCCCAGCACTCCCACCACCATCTCCATCTGCTAAATACACGAACACGCTCACTCCTCCCGCACTCATCGTGCCTCGCCAACCCCTTATGAATTATTTGATCGATTCCAACGCTTCTGGACTTCTCAGTCCTAACTCTGCGATGCAGTTCACATCCAACATGTCACCCTCTCTCTCTTCCAGTCCCGCTCAGACGTGTTATTTTGGGCAAACGATCGATGAAGAGATGAAAGAAAATTAACTTAACGCGCTCCACTACAACGTTTGGACATTACTGTGCCTGGTTGCACAACCGCCCTCATATATCGGTACATAAATACGCCACTCACCTACTTATTTGTTCCAGTTAATTCCCTGCTGCATTTTCATATCCACTCAGATATTTTTCTCCTACGTCTCTGCATCTTTCAAGCTCGTCTCTGCTATTACTGGTGCTCTTGCTCTTTAAAACCGATAATGCTCATTATCGACATTTGATCCAGGCTTCTTTTTGTTGTTCGAGTACTTTTTACTGGTACTTGGGGCGCGTTGTAGTATCTTGATATGGAACAAAGAGTTATTGTCCACTGCATTTGGTTTCCGCCAAGAACGCGACGCGTCTTTATCACATGGTCACAGACTTCGATGATGTCATTTGGCAATGGCACCGCCGTTAAGATTCATTACATAATATTCATTGTTTGTATGGCGGTGGCTGAAGCAGTGAAGAGCCGCCGTCAATATTAAATGTTGAGTTAGTCAAGACTGTTTGCTTCGCTTCGGTGCCCTCCCACTCAGTATCTCTGCACTCAAGGAAGTACACTGCAAGGCGACCCACATCAGATGGGCACACTCATGGCGGAAATCACCTCGCTACGCCCGTATGAATCGGATAGATCCCAAACTCCTGCAACGCTCATTTGTAAAACTCACCGCCTCATTCCCGAAACGACTCACCGGCCTTTACATGTCCCTGGGCATGCCCTCCTTAACAAGTACCTGCGCCGTATTGGGAAAGCGGAATGCCCACAATGCCCTCATTGCCATCAAGTTGATGAGACCGTACACCACTATCTGATCAGCTGCCTGTTCTACCGTCGCGAGCACCATACCCTTGCTGGCACGCTTAGTCGCAAAGCCACCTCCGTCTCCTTTCTCCTCACCGACCCCATAGCCACCCCACACCTCGTACAGCTCGTCAATGCCAGTGAAAGGATGAGGGGAACATTCGGTGAAATCCCGCTACCTCGTAAGCCGCCAGATTGATGACCCCATGCCCGTTTACAGAAATCCCCTGTATCTACATCCCCCTGTATCAAAACCTCACATCATTTCACACATCCTGTATCACCACCCTCACCCGCATACACGGAATCTACCACCTTCGTTGGAATCAGTCAGTCGGAACAAAGGAGCACGCCCATTTCAACCCCAGGCCTCTCCCCATAACTACTTCATATAATTAAACCCTGCTTCTTCTGCACCGCACGTGCGGCAATCTCAACCCATTGCATCCATTCTGATTCCTGCATCTTCGGCGGCCGGGTACGCGTTCTGCCTGCCACTAGATAGCCTCACTACATACCGCACACACCCAAAGTCCCCTCATAGACTAGCATGTACTGTCCTCCATAGAGTTTAGCTCTCCATAGGACATGAATTGAATTATTTAAAATAAAATAAAAAGACTGTAGACGAATGAAGGCGGCCGTTCGTCCTTTATTATGGGAAGCATTAGACTAACATTTTCTCCTGGATGGTTGACAGAGAGCACTAAACGCTCGAGGTACTCCATAGCTTAGTTCTAGATGTTCTTCCGCGAGGTTGGAACTGGAGGGGAAGGAGCAAGGGTAATTTATTCTGCTATCTTAGGCTGCTCATACCAGCGCTCCCGCCGAAGAGTTTTAAGGGACAATTTGACCGTGCCACAAATGTCCTCAGCTCCTTGTCAGGAAACCATACATGGTAAGCCTCAAGAACGCGCAAGTTAGGGAGCGTAAGTGCATCGAAAACGGCAGGGAGTAAGTCTGACGTCGTCCAACTAGGGCTGCTGATGAACAAGGATTGAAGATTCGTGTGCGTGACTGGTTCTAGTGGCTCTGAAGGGTGTACGACTTCACTCCAGTAGCCCCCGGTCGCGGGCACGTTTACCTCTAGCGAGGTGAGGTTGGGACATACGGGGAGCAAGTCGAGCATATGATGCGGCCGCTTTACGGTGATGTAGATATTTTTCAGGTGGGCCCAGACTTTGTTGGAAGGGGAGAAGTGCGTGACTGGGTCGACCACGATCTCTTTCAGTTTGAGAGTGTGCAAGGTGCACGGCAGCAGCTGGATGAGTTCTGTAATAGCAGTCCCATCGCCATCGCCATCTTCATCGTCATCGTCATTGCCGTGCCAATCTATCGTAAGCTCCCGAAGTCCCGGTAAGCCTCGGATCAAGAATTTAGGTTCGACGTCGGCGTCCGTAAATAGGATATGAAGCGATGTGACTTGAGTGTAATAGTTGTAAGGCTGGAGAAGGCTTTGCAGTTCAGTCTTAGCATTTGCGAAGCAACGGATTGATAGCGGGAGTCCTTGTGATCGCTTAAGCCATAACCTATAACGGAAGGATTCCTCTTCCCAGTGCCTGTAGCACACAGACAACATGCACCACAAGCTAGGCATGTTCACAGCAACTCCCCTCCATCGTCGGCATATTCTTGTCAACAGTAGAGGAGCCAACTCCCGTGATACCGAAGATTCATAAGCTGCCGGGAGACAGTTAACGAAAATTCGGGATAGGAGTTCGACTGGCAAGCTCGAGAGAGGCGACGCGAATTTCCGGTGGAAGGTCACGGACCGTTTAATTCTGTTCTTCTTTTTGATGAGTTGCTCACGAAGGACTTCTATTCTATCCATGATAGTATCCATGTCTGAAATGTCACATAAAACGGCATCTAATTGCTGCTGGCGTTCAGCGAGAATGGCTTGAATGTTCTGCTCGCGCTGAAAGGCCTGAGAGTGGTCGCGATTGGGGAAATTGGAGAATGGGGTTTCAAGGCCTGGAACCTGATCATCGTCAATATGGCTGCATCAGGATTCAGATGTACCAAGATAGACTTGCGATCACTCGTGAGTGTGCCAGGGTGTCTTTCAGTGCACTAATAATATCAGGGGAAAGATCAATGGCCTCTGAGTCGGCTATCGCCTCCTGGATTGCCTGCATCTTGTCTGCTAACGACAAGGCTGAGACGATTGGGGTGGTAGATTAAGATTTGAAGCAAGGAATATTAAGAAAAGCACGGAGCGTAATAAGGGGCTCGTAAATTGGCGTTATCGCGGAACTTCAAAACTTCTTGCCTGCATGCAAGGCGGGGAAGCAGCACGAAAGATAACCCATCACACACATCACACGCCAGAGGTAATGGTAGAACGCTACATATTGAGCAACTCGGATAGAATTGTCTATATAACATGAGCGTTACAACAACAACAATACCACGACGTTTGGGGTCCAATATCGCTTCAAGGGAAGGAATGAGGGCATCCAGCCCCGAATATTAGGCACTGCAGGGGGCAGTTTAACTGCGCCGTGGATGTCTTCAACTTCTCGCAAGGCCGTGGCCCTGGGTAGAAAGCATGGAGCATACGTGGATTAGGGAGAGTGAGTACGTTGAATAGGTCAGGGCACGAGATTGTGTAACAAGCGATGGACAAGGATTGAGATTTGCGTGCACGAATAAATTGAAGGGCCGGAGTAGCTGCACCTCCGATGCGCAGGTAATGAGGTGAGGCTGGGACATGGGTGGAGCAAATGGATGAATTCGTCTGGTTGATCTATTATGGTCTCGACGTTTAAGAAAGTGATGGAAAGTCTGGGAGGGGAGGGGGTCCGGGTTGTCGGGCATCATCCAATATATGACTTGAAGCAGCGAGTGTAACGATGAAGCAGATTGTGTATAGACATGGGGATGGTTGTGGAGACAGTGGAGAAAACTTGAGATAGAACTTCAACTGGCGAGCGAGGGCTGATTTATATTCCCCGATGTAAGGCTTAAGCGCACGGACTGCGTAATTTTGTTCTAAGTACATTAATATTTCAGCGGGCGAAGACGGTTGATTCTGTCCACGACGGCATCCAATTGCTGCTGGTGTTTGGTGATAGTGGTGTCGATGCACTGGTCCCCGAGCTGGAAGGCCTGAGGGTGGTCGGGATTGGGAAATTTAGAGCATGGAGTCTCAAGGTCCCATTGTTGGAGACTCGCGTATCATAGAACTTAACCGATGGACTAAGCCGTAAAACAATAGTTTTTTGACAGTTCAATGTGCAGATCCGGGCCTGCATCTTGAGCGCTT